CTTCACAGAACCCACAGGCATTGAAGACACAAATAGACAGACTGGGAGGATTTCAACGAAAGCTAAAGCCACATGTGTGGGAGAACATCTTAGTGGGAAACGGATAAGACCACCATTCCTGTACCTTAAACTGCCGCAGAGTCCAGGAAGGAGTAAGGGAAAGTGAAGAAAAACTCTCCCCAAATAAAACAAACCCCAAATCAGACCCTCAGGAGTAAGCTCCAGATCAACTCTTAAACAATGCTTTTTAGCACAAAGCACAAAGTGGAACTGAGGATTAGGGTTTCAGGACTTATAGATTCTTACAGATGAGGGCTGTCCATTCTCCTGTGAGGAGACTGACAGGTTTCAACTGCAGGACTTTGAACGCCACCATCAGAGCTCTAAACAGACCCAGGGGCTCCAGGTATCCTTCTCCCATGCCTGTATCACTGGCTGAACTACCTCAGACTAAGCACAAAAAACAAGCTTTAGCCTTTCTCTCCTAGAAGTAACTTCCTATGCCAATCTCCTTTCTCCCGTGTGGGTATAGACTCTGGTGAATGACCTGATTCCACCACCAGAGCCAGCTCCCAGGGTCACTGGCTGAACATAAGTACAAAAATTCCTCCACAATTACCTTATTCTCCCTTCATTCTTCTGCTTTACCCCAATTTTCTTCCTTTCTATCTGATAATTTTCACCTCTACCTCTTTGTCTTCTTTCATTTTTACCAAACCTACATCTTTCTCAACCCCTACTTTTCTTTCTTTTCCTTATATTCTTTGCCCTTTTTCCCTATTTCTTATCATCAATTTTTATACTATCTTTTCATCCCTCCATCTTCTCCTTGGCTTTCTTTTTTCTCTTTTATTTTTTTTCCTACCTCACCAATGGGAGGAACACATTAACCCACCACCAGTAAGCCATATCTATCTACTACACAGACCATTTTATCAAACAGACAAATAACACCAATACTTCTCGGACCAAAGTATCAATGACAGATGGTAGACAACACATGTTCCTCCCAACTCTTCTTCATGAGAAACAGAGACCAGCACCCACATCCCCACCAGTTACTCCAAAAACACAGAGAAAGCTGGAGAAAGTCACAGTACAGCCAAACTGACAACCAAAGAACTACACCAGGTCCACGTTTCCAGATATATTAAAACAAAGTAAAACATAAAACTAGACTGAAACCAATCAGTACATAACTAACAAATAAAAACAAAAACTTCAAATGACTAGGAAACAACAAACAACTTCAAATCAAACAAAAAAAAATGGGACAAGATAGTAGAAACAAGTATAGAAATTAAAAAATTTGGAAATCTCTCTGAGAAACAAGTAATAGAACTATCTGATAAGGAATTTAAAATATATATATATGTTATTGTTGTTGAGAGGTGCCATTGAGTCAGCTCCAACTCATAGCGACCCCATGTACAACAGAACTCAACACTGGTCGGTCCTGCGCAAGCCTCATAATACTTGCTATACCTGAGTCCATCATTGCAGCCATTGTGTCAATCCATCTCGTTGAAGGCCTTCCTCTTTTTCATTAACCCTCCATTTTGCCATTTTTGTCCTTCTCCAGGGAATGACCCTTTCTGACCACGTGACCAAAGTAGGTGAGACGAAATTTGGCCTTTCTCATTTTCAAGGAGCATTCTGGCTGCACTTCTTCCAGGGCAGATCTGTTAGCTCTTCTGGGAGTCCATGATATTTTCAGTATTCTTCACCAATACCACAAATCAAAAGCATCACCTCTTCTTCAGTCTTCCTTATTCATTCTCCAGCTTTCATATGCATATGAGGTGACTGAAAACACCATGGCTTGGGCTGAGTGCACCTTAGTCTTCAAAGTGACAATTTAGCTCTTCAGCACTTTACAGAGGTCTTTTGCAGCAGATTTGCCCAATGCAATGTGTAATCTGATCTCTTGACTGCTGCTTCCATTGGTGTGGATTGTGGAACCAAGCAATATGAAATCTTTGACAACTTTAACCTTTTCTCCATTTATCGTGATGCTGTTTATTGGCCCAGATGTAAGGATTTTCGTTTAGTTTATGTTGAGGTGTAATTCATACTACATACTGTAGTCTTTAATCTTCATCAGGAAATGTTTCAAGTAATCATCACTTTCGGCAACCAAGGCTGTGTCATCTGCGTATCACAGGTTATCAATGAGACTTCCTGTGATCCAGATGCTGTGTTCTTCTTCATATAATCCAGCTTCTCGGCTTATTTTCTCAGCATACAGACTGAATAAATATGATGAAAGGATACAGCACTGATGCACTCCCTTCTTGATTTCAAACCTTGCAGTATCTCCTTGGTCTGTTTGAACAAAAGCCTCCTGGTCCACGGATAGGTTCCTCATGAGCACAATTAAATGTTCTGGAATTCCCATTCTTCTCATTGTCAGCCATAATTTGTTGTGATCCATATGAGTGAATGTTTTTGCACAGTTGATAAAACACAGGTAAACATCTTTCTGGCCATCTTTGTTTTCAGCCAAGATCCATCTGACATCAACAATGATATTCCTCATTCCACATCCTCTTCTGGATCCAGCTTGAATTGTTGGCAGTTCTCTGTCAATATACTGCTACAATCAAATTTGAATTCTCATAGACATATACAGAGCACTCCACTCACCAAAAGCACACAATTCACATTCTTCTCCAGTGCACATGGTCATTCTCCAGAATAGATCATATGGTAGGACATAAAATAAACCTCAATAAATTCAAAAACATTGAAATAATACAAACTATCTTCTTGGATCACAACGCTATAAAGTTAGAAATCAATAATAGGAAGATAAAGGAAAAAATACCAAACATGTGGAAGTTGAATAATACATTGCTCAAAAACTACTGGGTAACAGAAGAAATAAAGTGTAGAATAAAAAAAATTCTAGAAGCAAACGAGAATGAAGATATATCTTACCAAAACCTATGGGACACAGCAAAAGCAGTACTCAGGGGTCAATTTATAGCAATAAATGCACACATCAAAAAAGAGGAAACAAAATCAACACTCTAACTCAACAACTTCAACAATTAGAAAAAAAGCAACAAAAGAACCTACAGTATCCAGAAGCTTTGAAACTATAAAGATCAGAGCAGAAATAAACAAAATAGAAAACAGTACAAAAAATAGAGAAAATCAACAAAACAAGAAAGCTAGTTCTTCAAAAAGATTAACAAAAGTGACAAACCACTGGCAAATCTAACAAAAGAAAAGAAGGAGAAGATGCAAATAACACAAATAATGAACTAAAAGAGTTCAGAATCAACTGAAATTAAAAAGATATTGACAGAATATTATGAAGAACTGGAATCCAACAAATTTGAGAGCCTAGAAGAGTTGGACAAGTTTCTACAAACACAAGACCTACTTAAACTATCCCAGTCAGAGATAAATACTGGAACAGACCCATAGCAAAAGAAGAAATTGAGCAGGTCATTAAAAAACTTCTCAAAGTAAAAGTCCTGGCCCAAATGGTTGCACTGGAGAATTTTACCAAACATTCAGGGAAGAGTTGACACCTATACTACTTAAACTACTCCATAACAAAGAAAAAAACTGAATACTCCTCAATTCATTTTATGAAGCAAGCATAACATTGATACCAAAACCAGGG